TCATTCAGCCAGAAGCTTTAAATGAAAACCTCAATGACGGAAACAGCTGCTCTGCCAACGTGTCCGTAGGCAGCTCTGAAGGTAGGAAAGGCAGCTGTGTGACGGCAGTTGTCTACTTGATTTGCACTCCGTTTGAACTTCATTGCACTCCGACTATGCTGCCAATATAGAAGACAGGATTGTACCCAACCACCAAGTGCATGCCCCTGCCTCTGCAGTAAAGGGTGTAATGCCACCATTCAGCAAGATACTGAATATCCATCACTACTCGTATTGAGTCTTAAAAAACAAAGCATCAGTAGAAACAACTCTTTAGATTAGGCTCTTTTTCTACACAAATCTAAACTAAACAATCTGTTCTCATACACTATCAGTAGGTACAAGTTGGTCGAAAAAGACACAAGTTATTATTAGTAATTAAGGTTTTAATTTTTTTTAAATAACTACTCCGCTTAACGCTGTCAACATATCAATGATTTTTGTCACATGCTTTGAACGTGGACCAAACTTCCATTGAAGACGTGAGTTTAATTTGAAAGGACACTTGGATGAAAGAAGCATATAGTGAGACTCCGTACACATGAGTTATAAACTAAAAGGCTACCGGTTACCGAGTTGGACACTCACCCAAGAGACCACTGTGTCTGTCTCATGTGAAAATTATCTTCAGTAATTACAGAACCTCACGTTTTTTTAACATAATGATTTATGTCAAATATTAGGGCTGTCAAGAGAATAAAAAAATGTACCTAATTAATTGCACATTTTGAAATTCATTAATCTCGATTAATGGTGATTAATGAATGTTGTTTTGAATGAAATCCGAAAATTGTCTTCTAAAGACGACATCTTAAAAGTAAGGAGTAATCACCTTAGAAAGTGTGTATTTTAAACCCTGTTGTTTAATTGTTAATGTTATTTTAGACACAAAACTAGACACATTTGATCATCGTGAAGGAAGAATTCCACCTGGTAGAACTAGTTTAACTAGCGACACTTCGATCTCATCTCTCCATCATTTAACGTCTGTGTTTGAAGTGCAAACAATCTCCCCACATTTAGCCAGAACGTTTTCAAACCGCGGTCTTTTAGGGACACAGTGGTGTAGTAGCGTTAAGATGGAAGTAGCCTAGCAGCTAGCTTAGCCTAGCAGTGCTCATTTTTGGGATATAGCGAGCACTTTTCCTTGTGTATGTCTTTACTCTATAGAGACCCAGATCGCTGCAAGCGGCAGGACTGATGAATAAGTAGTGGCAAGAAAAGGTAAGTCAGAATATTTCCCTTCAGCGCATTACATAGAATCAAAAGGGAAAGAAAAAAGTGAATTTTCTATAAAATTGCTTTAAAAATAAAAGCTTTGTCAAAAGTTTAGAAGAAAACCCACATGTCAGTGTAGGCTTTGAACATGACTTTTGATCTGAGTTACTCACAAAGGCCACATTTATCTCCAGTTAACGTGAACAATAGGAGAGTGGTGAGGGAACATGAAGCCTTTTTACGTTTGGTTCCTGTGAAATCCCCATTTTGGGTGTTGCTACTGCTACTTCCTTTCTACATTATTCTAAGTGGATAGGCTCTGCCTCATCTCATGGTTATGGTCAAGATAACATTGTCATCATAAACAGAAGCAGCGTTATCATTTTCAGCTTTGGTTTGGCCATGAAAAAAAAGTGCACTATTTGACCTGATCTCCATTGTTTCTTTTCCGCCTGCATGGCTGAAAAGAGAAAAATGTCTTGGGAAATTCAGAGTTGAATGAATCAGCGCAGCTTCATATCTACATATCCTCTCTGTTTCCTAACACATGCACATGCAGGGAAGATACGGAGATGGAGAATACCTTGGACATTATCTTCATAATAAATAGTCTTGCGGTTCCATTGTCCTCCCAAGAGTCATGTAATATAAACCTACAGGATGAAACACCAGCGCTAATAACAGACTTCATTTGCATTGTCGTCATTGTAATGATCAAATCTTTCTTTCTTTCTCTCTCTATTCACTGTTCTTTCATTTAGTCGTACGCTGTGGTGAAGATTATCGTTGTCTACATGTTTTAGGTTCTTAGAGTTTCTTCCCATTAACAGTGAGCTCAAATCGGTCAGACTTCAAAACAGGTTCAACTGAAAGCCCTCTAAAAGCTTTGCAGCAAAGACAATATCGTGATGTGGCTACATTATGTTCAAGAGACGGGATCTCAGTAGATTCATAAAGACCAGAGCTGAAAATAGACAACAAAAGCCAAAAGGTATTTGTGTCACGCACACAGGTACACGAGACACTTTGTTTCACAGAGTTATTCCTGGAGCAACTTTTGGTGTTTTTAACGTCTGTAGATAGAATGAGAAAATGCTCAGTTTGTCACTTTTTCCGATGTTGCTTCTGTACAATGTGACCGATTTATAAAGAAAAGTTGAACAAAACATAAAGCCAAAAGTTACAGGCACATGTTCTGCACTGCACTAATACACACATAAATATAATAAGCTGACATTACATATATATATATATATATATATATATATACAGTACCATTCAAAAGTACTGTGTTTTGTCAGCAATGTGTATATATATATATATATATATAAAAAATATATATGTCATTTCACTCTTGATAAGACAAATTGAATGCAGAAGGAGTTGTTTAGGTGCCATGGATCCCGCGCACAAAGGGAAGATTCCTTGAAGCAGGAAGTCACTCAGTCAGCATAAGGAGGCTGATTTGGTCCTTTGAATTCGGCAATTGGTAGTCAATCTGCCATCTGTGGATATTGTCTGAATGCGCGGCTCCTCTGGGGAGCAGGCTCTGCATTCAGATTGTTTAGCCAACTGAAGAGCAATAACATTTAGAAAAATGGATTCTGTGATACATTATACATGACAAAATGTCTAAGATGGAGAATGAAATTCCATCTTACATGTCAGCCAGAGATGGATGGATGGATAACCTTCAAACACCTGTTTATAATTATTATGGCTGTTTTTCTTTTCTTTGAAGAAAAAACTTATTAAAATATTTCTTAAAAAAAAAAAAAAAATCAATCAAAATGTAAATACTACACCTGTCACCATATATATGTATATATATGTATGTATATATATGTATATATGTGTGTGTATATATATATATATATATGTGTGTATATATGTGTATATATATATATATATATGTATGTATATATGTGTATATATGTATATGTGTGTATATATATATATATATATATATATATATGTGTGTGTATATATGTGTGTGTATATATATATTTTTTTCTTTGTCTGGTTTTGTTCTGTCTGTCCTTGCGCTATGTAACTGCCTTTTGTGTATCTAAAAAAGCGCTATAACATACTGTATAACATACAAGTATTATTATAATATTTATTTACCTGTGCAGACGGAAGCTTGCTTCTACTAGTGGACAAACAGGTGCTGCACATGGCAACGCAGGATGTAAGGTTGGCGTGGAATTGGGTGTGTGGCGGGAGTGTATGACTTGAGACCAAAAATAAGACCAAAATGCGTGACTGTCGCGCTCAATGCGTGACACTTGAGAGTCCTGTGTAAACATTAACACGTCCCTTGTGGCAAACTCCTTGCAGGATGTCTGAATAGTCTTAAAGTTGGATAATGACTGTACGTCACACCTGATCTTAGTGAGCACTGTGTCACGGTGTGGTTCACTTCCTGTTGTATTTTGTAGTTTTCTGCCACTTGTGTCCCCGGGTAACTTCACTTCCTGCCTTGTCCCGTTGTCCCCTGTGATCGTCTAATAGTTTCCACCTGTGTCCAATCACCTGCACCTCCCTTGTGTATTTAAGCCATGTGTGTCTGTTGTGTCACTTGTCGCGTCATTGTCTTTTGCCACGCATGTCCTTGTCTACCGTCGTGGATGTTCGTAGTTCCTGCCTGCTGTTTTTCCCCTGGTTCCTGTGTATTTTTGCCCCTTGGCCTTTTGCTTTTGACTATTAAAGTCTATTGCTTTGAGAAGTCTGCGTTTGAGTCCTGCCTCCTCCAACCATCTACTTGACACACTGACAAGAGTGATTATGGTTCTGAATACAGCATAATGATAGTAAGTTAGTCCAATGTACAGCTAAATATACAATAAAGCAGGCTGGGCTTCGGGCATGGCTTACCTGTGATTAACAGGTTGCTAGAAACACAACCGTATCTTTTGCATGGTGGGGTAAAACATATTAACGAGCAATACAAATCTAGCACTCTGAGCACCGCAAGGCAAGTAGCATGCAATATCACGTATCGGGAGAGGCAGACATCTCTACTCACGATACCTCCAACACGTCGCAAGTCACACCATGATTTTGAAAATTCTTTTTGTAATTTGGAGATAAACTTTAATTAACAAAACTTGAGCATTAACCTTTTCAAAAAGTTGTTAACTAAGAGGTCCATACCACAAAACAACTAAGAATAATAAATGTACATTCTTACCAATTTATTTGAGTGAAGGGTTTACCCCAAGCAACAAAGCCTTCATGTTCTATCGGACGCTCAGCATGATTACTGGGGTGATGTTTCCACAAAAAGTCAATGCAGGTTAGGCCTTCTCAGGCCTTGAATGTCTGGGTGCATGACCATTTTTGTCATCTATTGTTGAACCATTGCATTGACATGGTTGTGAAAAACCAGCTCAACAACGACTCCTACCTGTTTATTCTGCAAAGAAACACAAACACACATTGATATACACGCGCACACACACACACACACACTAGCAATCACAGACAGCTGGCTGCAACACAAGAAAGCACATACACACTCTGGAGATCAACACGCCTGTCACACCTTTTTTGGGAGCTCTGTCAGTAAAACTGCAAACACAAACACACAATCCCATCACACACAGATGTCGGCCTATTTGTCTGTTTGCAGACAGTGTGTTTGTGCAGGTTTTTTTCACCTCAGGCCAACAAAAAAAAAACAGTGCGTATGTTAGAAAGAGAGAGAGCAGTAAGTCTACTTAAAGAAGGAGTAAACTCACCTGGTTCAGATGGTTTCAGTATTCCTTTATCAAGTGGAGCCAATTAGCAACGAGCCGAGATGTGAAGTGTTGACCGGACGCGATCTGCAGCGGCCTGGAGCGGGGAAGAGAATATTTAAAGATGAAAATCGTTTTGGTCCAATACCAAAATAAACATTTCCACTTCTTTGGGAAGCAAAGACTGAAATGAAGCTTGTGTAAACATTTCTCTCTTGTAAATGTTGTTTAGCTGTTGGCCGTGACATCAAGAGAACCTGTTGTGTAACAACACCTTAAATGTTGTGAAGGAGACATCTCTGACCGGTCAGTATCGCAGTATAAAACAATAAAAGGATTATCTAAACTTAAAGAGGACAGTATATAACGATTATTGTATTATTATTATTAAAACAAAAACACAACAATGCAGTAATTCATGAATAAAATCCTAAACTCTACAATAAGGTGTGTTATATAAACTAGGTTATTTTGTAAGTTTATATAACGTATGTAACGTATATGTATTTTTGTACGTTTATATATGTATGTTATGATTGTACAATACTGATTTAGCTGGTACAGCTGGATTGATACGTTTTATATATATATATATATATATATATATATAGTTGTTGCACCAAATGTAATGTATGCAAGAACCGTGTTGCATAAAACCATGTCACATGTAATAAGCCCACTGGAGAGTGTAACTCATAAACAGCACAATGTGCATCTGGCAGCTCCCCTCCACAGCGTCTTGGAGTTGCACAGAACAGATCGGAATAGCATCTGATTAGATTAGAGGAACACAGCGGCATCTACCAATCCGATCTGATGGCCTTTGCTGCGTCTCGCTCGCTCTCCGACATCCCAATCAAGTGCTTTCCTCGTCTCCGGCTCAGCGCCGGGAAAAGCAGGACCTCCGCTGCGCTGTCTCCCGCGGCGCCGGCTACCCATATCGCTGGCGGCACGCGGCCAAGATGTTGACTTTCAGCTGGAGATAGAAATGAGGGCCGAGCGCCCGCCCAGAGGAGGCCCTTTGTACTGCAGAGGCCCGTGCATCTGGTTAATGAGACTGTGGTTCAGACCCCGACAGCACGGCCTCATGGGAGAGATGCTGCTCTTATTAAGATGAGAGGACAGATAAGAGGATGGGAGAGAGTCTGGCTTTGTTCACTGTTCGCTACTTGCGGACTGCTGGCTTTCTACTACGAGCAGCTGTAAATGGGCTTCAGGAGGGGTTTGTCCACAACGGGAGCTCTTCAGCTATTCACTTTGTGTGGCCGTAAATTGGTCCAAATGATCAGGATGATATATGGTATTCACCTCCCTCTCAGAATAAATTGCAAAACGCGTTGAAAGATTTACTTTTTGCTGCAGCGTCATGTTCAAAATATAAATCTGTCCATATGACTGAAGACGTTGGTGCGGTGAGGGGGAGTTTAGGACGGTGCACTCTTTTCAGTTTCACCGCTGAAGCCACAAGGAAAGGAACCGCACAGGAGCAGATGGGATCAGTACTCGGGTTCCATGAAGTACTCACATCTTACCCAGCTGAGAACCATCTGTTAGCTTCAAAGTCACATAACATTTATAGTGTTACTAATATTCCAATATGAACATTCACAGTCTTAAAGAAACCGTTAGTTACAGAATATTTCCTTATTTCCAACATATAGCACTAACCCCTTTAACAAATGAAGAAGAAATGAGAAATGTGATCTCATCACATTTGTTTTATGAAAGGTGCTTAGGACAATACGTTTTATTGAGATATTCTTGCAGGCTGTCAACAGTTATTGTAACTGTATTGATATGATCAATCATAGAAAACTAAAAATAATATTAACAAATGATAAATAACATCTCACGTACAAAAATGAAACCTGTTAAATACCTGGAAGTATGACTAAAAAACAAGGCAGACACAAAAAGAAGAGCAAAGGGGAAGAAGAAAACAAATAGAGATACAGAAGTAAAGAGGACTACAGGATGAAAAGTGAAATAGATAATGAGTAAATATTTGAGTGTGAGGGAGAGAGTCAGATAAGAATCACAATTGGAATAGAAGACTGGGTGGATAAATGGTAGGGCGGGTGGAACCATGGATGAAGGATAGACGGATGTCGAAAGGATGGAAGATCAACTCAATGGTTGAAGTGATGGATTAGTGTGTTCATGTATGGATGGGTGGACAGATGGTGATAGATTATCGAATGGGTAGATGGATTAACAGATTGATCATTCTAGTAGATAAAAAAGAGTAGTGCACTAATGGCAAAGGATACGTGTATGACGCAGACAAATATTAGATGGACGTGTGGTTATAATGGTTGAGGGACGGACAGACAATGAAAAGGTGAGTGGATAATAGATGAATAAAAATGAATCCCAGACTGCTCTTTGTCTGACTGAACAGACGTCTGATGTGAGCACAGATGCAATGAAGAGCTGTAAAAAGAGAAACTTTGGAACAGACAGCTGACCTTAGAGAATGACAACTAACTCTGGTTCTATGAATAACCGTCATCTCTCAGCCCGATTACGTCTCTAATAATCTCTTCTCTCAGCACAGGCTCTCACATACAGTCACGGCGGAGTACAGACCGCAGAATCTTTAATTCAGACTAAGTGCTGTATACAGCTGTATGAGAAAGAGGCTTTCCAGCTTTGTTCTGCATGACCTTTTAGGAGGTTTAGGACAAACGATTTCTAAAAACACAAAATTGATTTGAATATACTACAAAATGGAAATTGCTAACGTGAAGCCCACACATAGGCCCAGACATACATTATATATCACATGGTTTTCAGTCAAGACACAGAACCCACACAACCAATACCCCAGCCCATAGCAACTGGTAAATATTATTACCTCAAGATGATTTGAACTGTCCAAGTCCAATGTTGAGCTTGTAATGCATCCTAGACTTTCTTCCATTGGAGCTACTTACACTCCCAGCCTGTGTGCCGGGAGCCATTATCGGACATGTTTCAGTCACTTAAATGAGACAAGCAGAAAGGAGACACTAGAGATGAAGCTTCAAGAGGAATCCAGGTACCACATGTGTCTCCTAGACAGACGCGCCGCAAAGCAATGGACAGGTTACCAGGCAGCATCACGACACTTTTCTCTACTAATCGGAAGATCTATTGCACGATCAAACTGTGCCACTGACGGAACCCGTTGCTCACGATGGGCGTGCCATCGGTGTGTGAGGGGCGAGATGTGCAACGGATGGGCACGTGGCCCCTTTAGTCAAGTGCGTCTCGTCTCGTGTAGCCTCTCCAAATATGCACCACGTGCAGCAGCAAAGTCTGCGGAATCAGTGAGTACAATATCAGTCAAACACAGAATGTATTGACGCCCTGTAGTGACACTCTAATGCTGCAGTCAATCCGTAATCCTTTTAGTGCAGCAACCATGAGGCGTTGAATTCTACTTAAGTATTACTTCCCTCTTCAACATACGTCTCTTCAAAATGGGGACAACGTGAGGATGTAAGCAAGCTTTATCCTGTCGTCTCTCACATTATGTCGTTGGTAGAAAGTCTTTTCTCATTAAATAGAGCAGCTTGGTAAAGGCGTCAAACTCTGAGGTCCATGTAGGGAGGAGGCGGGCCTCAGTTTCCTCCAGACGACCGGTTCTCTGTGTGAAACCAGATACCAGCGCTTATATAAGTTACATATTAGCTTACGAAATATACTTTACACAACTTAAAAGACTATCTATTCCTAAACCTGCTTAGGTGTGTTGCTTTATCTAAACAAATGGTTTCCTGTGATCACCTGAGTTTATTTAGAAAAAACAATGTCTGCACGTAACAGGGGCAAATCTACACAAGCACAACTTAATAGTTTTAAAAGGGAAAGCTTGTTGTGGGAGAAGTTAGGATGCCACCATGTTGTGCTTTCATGTTTGCTCGTTGTAGTGTAAGGGTGCGTCTTCAATACAGTAATACATTTTTCACCTGTAGTGAGGCTGAAGGCCATTTGGCTGACAGCTCGTATCCACCAATCAGAAGAAGAGCCAGTCAGACGTGTCAGTCAGTCAGTCAGACAAGGCAGTCTGAGGTGAGCTGTGGGTGAGTGCGTCTATTTGATTTGCGATTTCCTGGCTGACTGATTGGTGATTTGGCAAAGTGCGCTGGCGTTCCTGAGCTGATTGACTGAAATCGTCCTCAGTTTACATGCTGAATATCAAAGTGGCCATTTTGTCACGTCTGTCCCCCATTTATTCTTCCACTCTGCTTTTTATCTTCTTTCTCACGTCGTATTTCCTTCCACCCTCTGTCGTTTCTCGACAGTGTCATGGACCAGGGAAAACAAGGTGTTTTTGTCACCTTTCCCCTCCACGTCATGTGTTTTATCCATCTATGTCTGTCTTTTTTTGACCTTCTGTCCTTTTCTGAGATTTCACAACTGTTCAGCTATTTGCATTAACCTCTTCCAATGTATCCTCTGTCTGTCTTCTAAAGACAAAATAAATGTAGGAATGACTAAACATACCATATTTCAGGCCTCAGATTACATTTTTTATATTCATGGAAACAAACGTGTGTGATTGAAGGAATGCATGTCCCCAGTAACAAACCAACAGAGCCTTGTTATGCTGTAAATGCTGTTTAACTGGAGAAAGAACGGCAGGAGGTGGAGGTCTCACAAATGCACCGAAGAGGTCATACAATAATTGGAGGGTTGGCACCGACAGGTTTCCAGTCAGATGCTCCAGTACATCCGTTTCTGAGGCAACAAAGATGGACAGTGATACACTGCCACCCACATCCAGTCAGTTGTTGAAAGTTCATTTTGCATCTTCATGTTGGAGAATTACTATCTCAAATAAAATGATACATGTTTTTTGACCTCTGCTTTCAATTTCAAAAGTCTAATAAAAAAAATCTCAAAAGGGCAGATTGATTACAAACAACTAACAATAATCAGGGTTTGATTATACATTGTTCATGCATTCACACCAATTTGAAAGGTATTTCTAGACTGTGAAGAAAACCTATATGAATACTGTAATGGTAAAATATAATGATGCCATAATGTTTTACTAAATGAATGTCTAAAGCTAATCGTGAGTTTAATTGTGAGAAAGGTTCACAACAC